TGAAGATAGTGTAAGGAACCTCTGGGAAAATTTCAAGCTTACCAACATTTGCATCATGGGGGTGCTGGAAGAACAGAGGGAGCAAGAAATTGAAAACCTATTTGAAATAAATGACAGAAAACTTAACTTACCTCGTAAAAGAAATAGACATACAATCTAGGAAGCACATAGGTTAAAATGCCAAAGGTTAAAGACAAAGTTCCTTAAAAGCAGAAAGAGAAAAGGAATTATTTATCTACAAGGGGGTGCCCATATGACTGTCAGTTAATTTCTCAACAGAAACACAAGCCAGAAGGGAGTGGCAGGCAATACTCAAAGTAACAAATAGCATGGACCTACAACTGAAGATTACCCAGCAAAGCTATCATTTAGAATTGAAGGTCAGATAAAGTGCGTCTCAGACAAAGAAAAGCTAAAGGATTTTATCACCACCAAACCAGTATTAATGAAATATTAAAGAGTTTTCTTTAAGAAGAAGAAAAATTAAAAATATAAACAATAAAATGGCAATGAATGCATGACTATTAACAGTTGAATCTAGCCGGCACCGGTTTGGCTCAGTGGATAGAGCGTCGGCCTGTGGACTGAAAGGTCCCGGGTTCGATTCCGGTCAAGGGCATGTACCTTGGTTGAGGGCACATCCTCAGTGGGGGGTGTGCAAGAAGCAGCTGATCGATGATTCTCTCTCATCGATGTTTCTAACTCTCTATCCCTCTCTCTTCCTTTCTGTGAAAAATCAATAAAATATATTTAAAAAAAAACCCACAAAAAACAGTTGAATCTAATAAAATAAATGAACAGAAGAACAGAAACAGACTCATAGATAAGAGAACATTTTGATGGTGCAAGATGGAAGAGGGGCTGTGGGATGGGTGAAAAAGGTGAAGGGATTTAGAAGTACAAATCAGTAGTTATAGTGTAATCATGGGCATGTACTGTAAAGTATAACATAGGGAATATTGTAATAGGTCTACTAGTTAATTTGGATTTTGTAATAAAAGAAAACACGATAATTTCAAGGGAAACATCTAAAGTGCTTTATTCAAAGTAATGTCCATTGCTAGCTACACATTTCCCCCATCTTTCAGGAAATTTGTGAATACTGTCCCAATAGTACTTTTCTTGTTTTGAGGCTAACCATTCAGAGACCCAGTTTTCCACTTTTTCGTTTTTTGAAGTGCTATTCAGAAAGTGCATGTGCCATTGATTGGAACAAGTGGTAATCTGAAGGATCAAGGCCTGGTGGATAGGGTGGGTGGGTTAATACTTCCCAGGCAAGATCTTTCAACGTGGTTTTGAAGTGTGTGAGAATGTGTTATCATGAAGCAAAATTACTTTGCTGTGTCTTCTGGCCCATTCTGGTGGTTTTACAATCAAAGTGGTTCTAATTGCTTTTTGTTGTCGGTAGTGGTCAGTATTAACCTGGTTTTAGAAGTTCATAATACACCACACCTTCCTGAGCCCACCAAATGCAGAGCATTGTCTTCTTTCTGAAGGCATTTGGCCTTGCAGTCGATGTTGATGGTTGACCTGGATCAACCCATGATTTTGTGCGTTTGGGATTCTCAAGATAAATCCATGTGTCATTGCTAGTCACAATTGGATGCAAAAAAGACTTTCTTGCCATTAAAGCAATATTTTACTGATGGCTTTTCAGTTTTCCATTTGTCTTTCATTCAGTTGATGTGGCACCCATTTTCCTTCCTTTAAAATCTTTCTCATTGCCCTAGTAATCCCACTCCTAGGAATATATCCTAAGAAACCAGAAACACCAATCAGAAAGGAAATATGCACCCCTATGTTCATAGCAGCACAATTTACAATAGCTAGGATTTGGAAACAGCCTACGTGCCCATCAGCAGATGATTGGATAAAAAAACTATGGTACATCTACACAATGGAATACTATGCTGCCATAAAAAAGAAAGAATTCTCATCATTTGCAGCAACTTGGATAGAATTGGAGAACATCATGCTGAGTGAAATAAGCCAGTCAATGAAAGAGAAATACCACATGACCTCACTCATTTATGGATAATAAAGAACATTATAAACTGATGAACAAAAAGATAGATACAGAGACAGTAAAACAACAAACAGACTGTTAAATTACAGCAAGGAGGATAGGGAGATATGGGGGAGATAGAGATCAACCAAAGGACTTGTATGCATGCATGTAAGCAAAACCAATGGACGAAAAACTCGGGGAAGGGGAAGGGCATGTATGGGCGTGGGGGGGCAATGGAAAGATGTACACATATAATACCTTAATAAAAAAATATTTCCCATTGCTTGTAAATGATAGGAAATTATTTGCTGAGCAACGTTTAATCTTTCTGCAAGTTGTTTTTCAGTTTGTCATGCATCTTCATCCCATAATGCTTGTAATTGTTGGTCTTCAGCTTTTTCAGTCAACCTATTAATAGTTGTTCTTTTGTCTTTCACATTGAAATCATTTAAAGCATTTAAACCAGCGTTCACAAGTATCTTGAGAGGAAGCATGTTCACCATAAGCTTCCCAAAGTATTCAGCAGCACTTTTCTTCAAAATAAAGTAATGAATTAAAACTTCCCACAAATGCTCTTTTTTTGGCACGAAATTTGACATTTTTAAGCGTAAAAATATCTATGATGTTAACACCTTCAGAAAATTTGACATATGAAGTTTTGAAGCTTGTCAATTCAACAAAATATCAACATATGTGTAACTCACTCTATTGAAAAAAAATCCATATTATTAACCGATACACCTAGTAAATAATATTCTATTAACTATGTAAGGTATTAGATGGGCATGAGATTTTTCTGAATGATTACTTAAAGTTTTTTTAATGTCTAATCACTGGGGGCGGGGCACATCTGAAACATATAATATTGTAAACATATAAATTGAAATTGAAAAAATAAAAAATAAAATAAAGTCATATCTTCCTTGAGAATGTATTTTCTATTTCTGCTCCCTAATTTTGTCATCTCTAATCATTCCTTTTACTTTAGAACTTACATTGGCAGGTTTGTTTTTTGCCAAAATAAATATACTTTAAAAGCACAACTATGCTGGAAAGAAGACAAACCAATTGATTGATGAATGGATAAACAAACTGAAATATCCATACAGTGGAATACCATATTAAATAAAAGAGGTCAGACACAAAGACAACACACCATATAATATTCTAGAAGAAACAAAATTATAGCGACACAAAATAGACTGGTCATTGCAAGGAGCCAAGTAGGAGCGGCTTGAGTACAAAGGGATGTACTTTTGGGGTGCTAGGAAGGGAGAACTTTTTGGGATGTTAGAAAGATTTTTTAATATATATTTTAATCCTCACCCAAAGATATTTTTTCCATTTGTTTTCTTAGAGATAGTGGAGTGGGAGAGAGAGAGAAACGGATGTAAGAGAGACACATTGATTGGCTGTCTCCCAAATGGGGGCCAGGGATCAAACCTGCAACCGAGGTACATGCCTTGACCAGGAATTGAACCTGAGACCCTTCAGTGCTTGGACTGACACTCTAACCACTGAGCAAACGATCCAGGGCAGGTTTTATTTTATTTACTTATTTAAAAATATATTTTTATTGATTTCAGAGAAAGAGGGAGAGGGAGAGCAGGACAGAAACATCAAGGATGAGAGAGAATCATTGATTGGTTGTCTCCTGTAGGACCCATGCTGGGGATTTAGCCTGCACCTTTGGCATGTGTTCTGACTGGGAATCGAACCATGACCTCCTGGTTCACAGTTCAACACTCAACCACTAGGCCATGCTGGCTGGGCCAGGGCAGATTTTATATCTCTTGATTGTGGTGGTAATTACATGGTATAACTGGTATATCTATGAATTGTATATATTTATCAAAACTCATCAAATTATATATAGTAAAACATTTTCAGACTTTGACTTAACAGATTTTGGATTTAATGGACACAATTTTTGGTCCATATGTCATATGTGAAAATTAACACCCTTTTAATTTTAAAATGCTTTTAACCAAGATTTGCTTATAATTAAATTAACAGGTTATTTTTTTAAATTCATTTTTATTTTTATTTTATTATTTTCAAAATATATTTTATTGATTTTTTTCAGAGAGGAAGGGAGAGGAATAGAGAGTTAGAAACATTGATGGGAGAGAAACATCTATCAGCTGCCTCCTGCACACTCCTACTGAGGATGTGCCCGCAACCAAGGTACATGCCCTTGATTGGAATGGAACCTAGGACCCTTCAGTCCTCCGGCTGATGCTCCATCCATTGAGCCAAACTGGTTAGGGCTTCATTTTTATTTTTAACAAATTGTAGCGAATAGGCCATATGTTGGAAAAAACTTTAGTAACTTCTTGCTGACCTAGTTAAACATTACATATTTACAACTATAGTTTATATCTTTAAACCCAAGAGTCACCAATTGTAAACAATGTTTGGCAAATGATGTGATATAAACAATGATCACACAACATTGCCAGGGTAATTGGTTCTGTTGTTGAATGGCGTGACTTTGCAGCAGTTTTAATGTATGCTAAGCCATGCCCCAGTCATGTGCATTTGTTTACTTATGGTGACTGGTGAATGCACACATTTACTATACCTATTCAGTATAAATATAAAATTACAGTAATACATATAGAACACTTCAATGAAATTAAAATTTTTATGCATACTTAATTTTAATTACACAAACATGTCTACATAAATATAAACAGGTAAACTAATTTGTCAATATTTTAACATGCTTTCAGAAAACCTACTTTATTATATAATGGACTTTCAGCTTTAATGGACACCTCCTCTCTTGAATTAGCCACTTATTCTCTACAGAAAATTGCTGAGTTCTATTGTATGTTTATTATGCCTCAGTAAAGCTTTATGAAGAATCAAGCAAATTGTATGATAAACCACCTCAGCTTTATCATACTCTTTAGGGGAAATAGATGTTTGTTTTTAACTGAAAATACAAAATGAAAATTAATGACATTTATATTTTTTTCAATTACAGAGACACAGCTAAGTTCCTCTGAAACTTTTGACCTTGAAAGAGAAGTCTCTCCAGGTAGCAGAGAGATCCAGGATGAAGTAACAATAATAATGTCAGATAAGGAGGTGAATATTCTCTCTAATTTTTCTCAGTGTTTTCTTTCTGTTGGTAGTCCTCTGCTTCCTACATGCCCCTTATTGGGGATCGAGCCCTGACCAGAAATCAAACCATGACCTTCTGGTTCATAGGTCAACACTCAACCACAACAGTCGGTCACTTAATTTCTTGAAGTGAAGTTTCTTTTGAGGCTAAAAGGTAAGAGATCAAGATTTGGTATCCAGGTGCCTCTTTTGAGAAGTGGCTGTATAGCATTTTACAATAGTAAAAGAAAGAAACATTTTTGCAGAGACTTAATCCCTGATGGCATAGTCCTGATAAAAGTTTCTTTTGTTTTTTGGCTTGGAGTTCCTCCATTATAGTTTTCATTTTTACATTTGATAGTTACATTTTTTCAGTTTTCTTGATTGTTGAAAGTATTACAGATATCCCTTGTGTTTTTTTTTTCCTTCTCAATGACCCCCTCCACTTCATACCCACTCCTCCCAGACCTTCATCACTCTATTGTATGTGTCCACATATGAATATAATTTCACCAGTTTATCACCCCCCTCATAGTTAATATATAAATAGACCATCTTAATTGTGATAGAAAAATCTTATTTTAATATAAAAATGTTCAGAAACCTTCTGGGTTCCTATGAGTGTGATTGGAAGTGGTCTTGTCTTCACAATAAGACAGTAATAGACTACTCCCTCTTGAATATATTAAGAGTTGAAGGTACATTATCTACATTTTATAGAGCTGGTGATGAATGCAAAGGAAGATAGTACTGGGTTTGAACACTGACATTCATGTCATACAGTATTTCTGTGGTTGGTGAACTTTAGAAGGCCAAGTATTGCACAGGTGACACTAACTTTCAACAACTCAAGACTACTTGCAAAATATCGAGTAACTTTGATTTTCTTCCCTCTGCTCAAATGGCTTTGCATGTACAAGATAACTTTTCATTGTAAAATTTAATATGAACAGAAGAACCTGTATTTATAAGAAGCTCAGTGATTAAGCTTGGAATAAATAACACCTAGAACTTCTAGACCTATCTCTTATAGGAGAGTCAGCTTTCAGAAACAAGTGGAAGCGGGTGACTTTTGCTTTTGCCACACCATGGTAGAATGGAAATACTGAAGGTTTGATATCATACAGGCCCGGGTTTGTGTCTAGATTGCCTACTAGTAACTATGTGATCAGTAGATTACTTTGTCTTTCTAAGCCTCAATTTCCTCTTCTGTAATACTTGAGCTAGATACGCCTTTATCGGTTGGGCTGTTATGAGGGATGGATATGGAAAATGTTTGGTCAAACCTGGCATAGTATAGGAACTCAACCATTGTTAGTTCCTTTCTCATCTTTTCCTTTTTTCCCCTTTCAGATATTTCTTTTTAAGTATAAAACACATGTGTTGAAACAACATATTTTGGCAGTTGTAGAAACTGTTTGAATTGGTATTTAGGTGACCTATTTCCCTCTTTCATGGATCACATTCACCGGAGATTTCAGGGATGGCCTAAACTTAAGAGACAAGCTCCCTACCCCAAGACCCAGTTATTTCAGAGCTCAAATTATCTACCCATTGCAGTTTTGGTCCTGTTTTGTTCTTGTACTAGAAGATGGTTTATTTTTTCCCTGTAGTAAGGCATAATGACAGCCCAGGTACTCTTTGCTTTTAAATGGAAGCAGTGGCTATGCAGGATAGTTTCACATTGATTGGACAGGACATGTTGTCCTTTGAAGCAAATGTTAGGCAGTAGTACTGCAGTGCTTAATGCATACTGTTGAATTAATCACTGCAGAGTTCTCAGTTCTGATCTGTAAGGTAAAATAAAACTGTCTCTGAGAGACATGGGCAACTATTGAAAAAATGATGAATATAGCACAAGGAGAGGAATAAGAGAGGTATGCTATAGAATGGCTTCAGCAGGGCTGACTGGTATATGGCTCAGTGGTTGAGTGTTGACCCATAAAACAGGACACTATGCCTGGTTGCATACTCAATCCCTAGTGGGGAGCGTGCAAGAGGAAGCCTGTTGATGATTCTCTCTCATCATTGATGTTTCTATCTTTCTCTCTTCTTCTATGAAATCAATAAAAAAATATTTATTTTAAAAAATGGCTTTAGCAGCAATGTCTTAATGACTTTTCTTTGGCTTTCTTAAATATTTGGGATTTAATTGTATTTCTTTTTTCAATCCAAAGTCATAAAACAAAAGAGGTGATATATCTTACTGGTTTAAGCTGAGACCTAGGTTCTTAAATTTTAATTGTGCTTCTGTTGCTTAGAGCTCTTTTGTTTTCTAACTCCTTATATATGTCTTATGTAAAATATCACAGTTCTTTTGTGAGATTGAAAGTGTCTTTAAGGTGCTGCTGCTATACAGACTATTGAAACACTGCAAACAGTACACTGACCCCAGGAGAACAGTGCCTTGCAGCATGATAGAAAGGAATGCCCTCAGTTTTTGGCGCCAAATAGTCCTTGGTTTGAATTTTAGCTCTGCCACTTATTTGTTCTGTAACTTTGGGCAATTTGCTTTACTATTTTGGACAATGCTTATCTCATGTAAAAAGGATATGTTAATACCTTTGTTAGATTGCTATGAGGATTAAATGAATATTACATGCAGAGTACTTAGCACATAGGGAGCAGGCACTGAATAACTATTGACTATGTTATCTCTCAATCCTCAGTCTTGAATTTGCAAACTAATTGGTATTGTCTCTGAAAGTAAATGAAGTATGGATAGAATTTCTTGTAGTTCTTTGGGGAAAAATTTATTTTATAAAGTAAAGCTGTTACAATTGCTGCTTGTCATGTTCTTTAGGTTGGCAACAGGGAAGATGCTGAGAAGGAAATACTTTCTTCTTTCTCATCTAGTACCAAGGTATCCTGCCCACTATGTGACCAAGGCTTCCCACCCACAAAGATTGAGCGACATGCCATGTACTGCAATGGGCTGGTGGGGCAAGATATAGGTAAGGACTTATCTGTCTGTGTGATGGTTTTGTAATTCTGTTCAATACAGTGCATAAAAAAGAGACAATTCTTCAAAGTTACAGTTGTTTTTATTTCTATCTGATTAATTTTTAGTATTTTTCATTGTCTTTATTTGGCAGGTATGTTATTTTGTGGCACATACCTGAGGAGAAGGGGAAGAGGAAAATCTTGTATCTTTTTAATGTTTCAATTTGTTCTTTGCCATAGTAGGCCAAAATTCAGTGCAATGCCATGGATTTTGCATTTCAACTTATATATTCAAATATTGAGACTGCTATGGAACTTGAGGAACTAAGATCTAGAGTTGCCCATTTTCAATTCAAAATAAGTGTATGTTTGTGTGTGTGTGTGTGTGTGTGTGTGTGTGTGTAAGTAAGTAAACTGTACCTATAAAGACTGTAGCTGAAAAATATTTCTAATTTCTATTCATGTGCTATAAGTCTCTGCTGTATCCCCCTGAAGCTATTGATTACCTTTGTGTGTGTGTATGTGTGTGTGTGTGTGTGTGTGTGTGTGTGTGTGTGTGTGAATCCTCACCTGAGGATATTTTTTTCCATTGATTTTTAGAGAGAGTGGAAGGGAGGAAAAGAAGTGGAGCAGGGTGGGGAGGTGGTGAGAGAGAAACATCATTGTGAGAGAGACACATTGATTGGTTGCCTCCTGCATATGCCCTGCAACTCAGTTATGTGCCCTTGACTGACAATCAAACCCATGACCTCACTGAACCACATTGGCCAAGGTCTTATAGTATTCTGCAACTTGTCTTTTTTCTTTTGTCTTTTTAAGTTTAACAGTAAATTTAGGTCTTTCCATGTACAGACAATTTTTATATAGTTGAGATCTTATTAATGTAAAGTTTTGTATTTTATTTTTTCTATTTATAGCATTACATTTCCTTCACGAGTCACTAAAAGTTAGTTGTAAAAATATTTTAATGCCTATGTAATATTTTGTAATCCAAATTGCCTCCATTTACTTACCTGTGTTTAGAATGCTTCAAGTTGCCATGTACATGACACTGAGCCTCCTGTGCTTAAAATTGTTGCTGTATTTTGGGGTAATTTTCCCAGGATATATTTCTAGTTTGGGTGGTAGTAAGAAAGATGGGCTCTAAAGTTCAATCAATCTGAGGTTGAGTCCCACCTCTGTCACTAGAATATGTGACTTTGTGCTAGTTTCCAAGCTTTCCTTTATTCATCTGTCAAGTAATAGTAGTAATGATCTTATTTGTTCTTTTGTGAGATATCTTAAGGAAAATGGCTAGCACAGTGCTTAGCATACAGTAAGTACTTAAGAACTTTCAGGTGCTGTTACTACTCATAATAGTGAATTACTAGGTCAAATATTTTGTCATAATTTTTAAGGTTCTTTATGAATAGCATTATAGTATTAAATACAATGAAAGGTGAAGACCTAAATCTGGTCATCAACACCTTTTAATAGAAGAGCATTGAAGGCCTGGGATTCTAGATGCAGTTTAATTTGACAGCCCTTTAGTCTGATTTTTAGCAGAGAGTTCCAATGGCTGAAAAAATTTCAGGGCTAGGCATTTGGTGACCAGAGAAAGAAGATACTGTCTTTGTATCTCACCAAACATGCTTACCCAATTGGTATTATGTGTGTCAACAACCTACTCAGTATTGAGGTCCAGAAATAAATGAGTTTGAGAAGCTAGGCTTAGCCTGGGCTGTAAAGGCTGGATAGGTTTGGATAAACCCATAAGAAAGTAGGGGACCATATATCTTCTGTGGGTTAAATAAGATAGGAAGCAAAAGAAATAGCATTAAACAACAGCTTCCTCTTAATCTTCCTAGTGGTGTTAGCTTGTTAATAACCTAAATTACTCTCTCTAGTGACATTTTAGGCCTTTTGAGAGAATTTGGAGGAGGGAGTCCTCACTAGAACTATCCCATTCTTTGCTTTCCTGGAAACAGAATTTGGGGCTGTAAGTAGGGTGGGGAAGTTAGAGAGGATTTATGCAAAGCACCTACTGGTGTGCCTGGCATAGGTCCTCGGTAAGTTTGCTGTGTATTTGGTTTTTCTACCAGCTTGCCTGACCCTGTCATCCTTGCCAGAAGTAGTGATTGTTCTGATTCCTCTCAGCTGTATATCTGAAGACAGAGGCCAAGCCTTCAGCCTAATTTTTATTTTATTTTAAATCTTTGCTTAAAGGAAGCTTCTCTTAATATGGAGTGGAAAAAGTTACTCTCAAAGATACATGACCCAGGTTGGGAGACTAGTAGTCTAGTGCCTAAGGGTATGGAATAGAGAGACCTCCCAGAGTTAAATATCCAGCTTTACCCTCCTTCCTGTTTTCCTCTGAATCTGATCCTAGACATGCTTGGTTTGCCTGTGTTAAAAAAAAAAAAAAAAAAGTAATTAGAGTCATTTACATGAAGTGTCTACCATTTATGCCTAGTTACTGTGCAGCACAATAACAATTATGCATATCATTAAATATGTGTCTGATTAACTTTGCTGTAAGTTTTATGTTCTTATAATATGTACTACACTGGTTACATTGGCTCAGCTGCTCATTCATTGCTCAATGGCATTACTATCTATTCACGACTTTGGAAAAATTAGAGCAGTCTCTAAAGGCACTGTTTTGGGGAGAGGATTTGCTAAATTAATCCAGACTAGGACAAAGGCAGTTTAGCTTCCCTTTGCTTTCTAGAAAATGTCTCTGAGATCATTTTATTTTATTTTAAAATAAATGTTTATTGTTCAAAGTATTACATATGCCCCTCCTTCCCCATCCCCTCCCTCCCCATCCTCCACCCCAGGTCTTCAGCACCCTATTATCTGTGTCTTTGGGATATGCATACATGCATACAAGGTCTTTGATTGATTACTACCTCCCACCCACTCACCCTCCCCCGTTTTCTCTCCAAGATTCTACACTCTGTTCCATGCTTCCATGAGTCTGGTTCCACTCTGTTCATCAGCTTATTTTGTTACTTAAATTCCACATGTGAGTGAGATCATGTGATATTTATCTTTCTCTGACTGACTTATTTCACTTAGCATGATATTCTCCAGGTCCCTTTATGCTGTCTCAAAGGGTAAGAGATTCTTCTTTTTTACTGCTACATAGTATTCCATGATATAAATGTAGCACAACTTTTTAATACACTCATTTGCTGATGGGCACTTGGGCTGTTTCCATATCTTAGCTATTGTAATTGTGCTGCTATGAAGATAGGGGTATATACATTCTTTCTGATTGGTGTTTCAGGATTCTTAGGATATTCCTAGAAGTGGGATTCCTGTGTCAAAAGGCAATTCTATATTTAACTTTTTGAGGAAACTCCATATTGTTTTCCATAATGGTTGCGCCAGCCTGCATTCCCACCAGCAGTACTAGGGTTCCTTTTTCCCCCACATCCTTGCCAGAACTTGTCATTTGTTGATGTATTGATGGTAGCCATTCTGACAGGTATGAGGTGATATCTTATTGTTGTTTCAATTTGCATTTCTCTGGTGATCAGTGACTTTGAGCATTTTTCCATATGTCTCCTGGTCATCTGTATGTCCTCTTTGGAGAAGTGTCTATTATGGTCCTTTGTCCATTTTTTAATTGGATTGTTTGTCTTCCTTTTGTTAAGCTGTATGAGTTCCTTATATATTTTGGCTATTAACCCTTTATCAGATGTATCATTGCTATATATGTTCTCCCATATAGTAAGCTTCCTTTTCGTTTTGTTGATGGTTTCTTTTGCTGTGCAGAAGCTTTTTATTTTGATGTAGTCCCATTTGTTTATTTTCTTCTTAATGTCTTTGCCCTAGGACAGTGGTCGGCAAACTCATTAGTCAATAGAGCAACGATTGAAATTTTTTTTGAGAGCTGAAAACCGACTTCTGCGCATGGGCCATGAAGTTTCAATCACACTGAATGTGCCCGCCCACACGTGGTATTTTGTGGAAGAGCCACATTCAAGGGGCCAAAGAGCCGTTTGTCGCTCTCGAGCTGCAGTTTGCCGACCACTGCCCTAGGAGATGTATGCATAAACATATTGCTACAAGATATATGTGAGGTTTCTGTCTATAGCTTCTTCTAGGATTTTTATGGTTTTACAACTTATATTTAATTCTTTTATCCATTTTGAGTTTATTCTTATATATGGTTAAGTTAGTGGTCTAGTTTCATTTTTTTGCGTGTACCTGTCCAGTTTTCCCAATACTGAAGAGACTGTCTTGACTCCATTGCCTTCTTTGTCAAATATTAATTGAGTGTAATGCCTTGGGTTGATTTCTGGGGTCTCTATTCTGTTCCATTGGTTGACATGCTTCTTCTTGTGCCAGTACCAGGTTGTTTTGATTACGGTGGCTTTATAGTATAACTTGAAATCTGGTATTGTGATTACTCCAACTTTGTTTTTCTTAAGATTGTTGCAGCTATTCCGGGTCTTTTTTGATTCCATATAAATTTTTGGGTTGTTTGTTCTATCTCTGTGAAGTATGCTGTTGGTATTTTAATAGGGATTGCATTGAATCTGTAGATTGCCTTGGGTAGTATGGACATTTAATGATGTTGATTCTACCAATCCATGAACATGGTATATTCTTCCACTTGTTTATATCTTGTATCTCTTTTTTCAACGTTCTATAATTTTCTGAGAATGGGTTTTTTGCCTCCTTTATTAAATTTATTCCTAAGTATCTTAATTTAAAAAGAAATATTTTATTGATTTTGTACAGAGAGGAAGGATGAGAGATAGAGAGTTAGAAACATCGATGAGAGAGTCATCGATCAGCTGCCTCTTGCACACCCCCTACTGGGGATATGCCCACAACCAAAGTACATGCCCTTGACCGGAATCGAACCCAGGACCCTTCAGTCCCCAAGCCAACGCTCTATCCATTGAGCCAAACCGGTCCCGGCTATCTTAATTTTTTTTTGTTGCAATGATAAATGGGATTGTTTGTTGTTTCTCTTTCTGAGAATTCATTATTATTATATAAAAACAACAACAAC